GAGTGTTGAGAATGAATTGAATGTTAATATTAAGAGTTACAAAAGGCAGACAATTCCAAATGCATTAAGAATTTTCTTTATAATGTTATTCTTTATAATCTTTAGTCTCTAGTTTCCTGGATTCCTTTCTTTTCTGTTTCCATATACAACATTATTATATTGTTTTTTTGGCCACCCAGATGGTATTCCACGTGTCTTTTTTTTATGGGTGGAACTAATATCTCACCTTGACACGTGGAGTTCTTCTAACAGAACGATAATAGATATAACTCCTTTCTTTTGTTTTATTTATTTGGAAGTCAGAGTTTCACATACACACATATACTGAGAGAGAGAGAGAAAGAGAAAGAGAGAGAGAGAAAGAGAGAAAGAGAGAGAGAGAGAGAGAAAGAAAGAAAGAGAGAGAGAGAGAGAGAGATTTCTTCCATCTACTGATTTATTTCCCAGATAGCTGCAGTGGCTGGGGTTGAGCAGGGCCAATATTACGAGTCTAGATATTCTTCCAGATTTCCCAGGTGTGTGCAGGAATCCAAGCACCTGATCCATCTTCCACTGTTTTCTTAGGCCATGAGCAGGGATCTTGGTAGGAAGTGGAGCAGTCAGCATCCAAATGGGCTTTGCCACTACACAGCAGCATTGACTGCACAATTCCTTTCTTGCATCTAGTTTTTCCTATGCAAAGACTTTGTTTCAGAAGAAAAGGAAGAAATAAACAACTAGGTGGTGAAAAAGTGGAATTGTACAATTTATACTGAATGACCTCTCCTACTTTCTTATTAATGTGTGGACAAAGGCTTGTTTTCATAAAAGTGGTTTTCATTTTTTAATTTACTTTAAAAATTTTTTTTAAAAAATACTACTTTTAAAATTCATGAAATGAAGTTGTATGTTGTGCCCTGCCCTCAATTTAAAAAGTGAATTTAATGTCTCTAGTTGTATGGTTTTACATTACAGGGTTTTTTTGTGTGTATAAATTTATTCCTGAATCTTGTTATTCAACTGTACTCAAGCCACTTCCTTTAATGTGAGAACCAGGGAACAGAGTAAAAGACACAGGCGAAAATTTCTCGGGGATATTGTTAACATCAAGCAAATGGTAATGTGTATGAACAGTGATAACCCTAGCAAGGTTTCACGAACAATAATATCTTGACAAAAAGATCTGATTCTAGATTAGATGTCCTTCGAACATTTAGCTTTGTTAGCTTTAATAGAGAGATTTAGAGCAGTTCCTGTGTCTGTGTTCTCTTTACATGGCTCTTTAAGAATTTGACATGGTTACAGTGACATACATTATAGCTTGCCAATTAGTTTATAATATAAAAGCAGTCCCTCCATCTGTTTGAAACCTACTTGTGACACAGAATTCGTAAATTAAATTCACGCTTGTTAGAAATGATAGGGCTTCTTTTTGTAATAGAGCAAAGCAAGGAAGATGTATTGTCGCTGTGGCAATTGAATAGTTTGACTTAGCAAGAACCGTTTTGAGCTTGAATTGTTATCAGGAGGATATGCTTGGGTAAGAAACAGTACTGTCTGTCACAAAAACTTCAGCTTCTGATGGCTTCTTCAAAAAGTGATTATTCACAGAGGAGGAAATTCCAGCGTTTCTATATAAACTTTGTTAAATTAAAAAATCCATTTATTTATTTACACAATCAGAGAAAAGCAGGGAAATAGACAGAGACCCCTGTGCTAGATGGTTCCGTAGCTGCCCATAACCTGGCTGGATCAGGTTGAAGCCAGGAGCCTGTAACTCAGTCTGGTCTCTCTCCTCCATGCATGGCAGGGACCCAAGTATTTGAGTTGTCAACTGCTGTTTTGTGTTTATGGGAAGCTGGGATCAAGAGCAAACCTAGGACTGGAACTCAGTTAGTCTATATGGGACATAGATTTCCTAAGCAGTGACTTCACTCTTGAGCAAGCAAGTATATTTTGTAAATTTTGCTATAGACATTAAAAAAAATACAATTCTGAGGTAAAGAATTGCTTTGCATATTAAAAAACCCTGTAATTTGTGCCTGTAATTATGAATTGTGCAGTATTTCCTTTTTTAATTAAATATGAGTTCAGACTAGGCAATATAGCATTTCTCGGAATTGTGTTGGTCAGCTAAAGTAAGATCCTTTTAGATAATATTAATTCTGTTTTCTTATTTATGGAATAATGAAGATTGTGCTGTAACCTTGCTTTTAATGTTTATTCTCTACATTTTTAAGAGTTCACTGTACATTTTTCCATATAACATTTTGCATATTGAACAGGGACCATGATAATCTCTCTTGTCATTCCAATTTTAGTATGTATGCTGCTGAAGTGAGCACCTGTTAAATTTTGAAGGAACATATTTAGCATGGGATAAATCCATTCATATTGCTGAACTTTCAGTTTATAATTCATCATTCACTAATTGCAAGAAATATTTAGAGTACACACTCATTTTCTTTGGTTTTGGATCTAACATACTGATGAATGAAATTGAAGATTAGTTCCTTATTTAGTGTTTGAAAGTGTTGGTATTTTGTTTGGTGGAAGGATTTTTTGACTATCCTACTTTCAGTTTGCAATCTAGGCTTGAATTTCAAGCTGTGTTTTGAATATATTTAAAGTAGTTTTATCATCTTCTAATGGAGGGTAAAGGCAGATATGACTTTTTAGTTCTACTTTATTATGGGATAATTTTTACCATTTGGTGGTAGTGAAAATTGTTGAAAAAGAAATTAATTTACTGAAGAGTAGATGAAAACTATACTCAGAATAAACCAACGAAGAAAGAATTTAGGAAACAAATTGAAGTGTGAATGATAGTGTTCAAGATAGATGTAGGCAAAGTTCTAGAAGGACATAATGGAGTAAATATGACAGAAGCTTATTTAAAGAGGAAATGACTGAGAATTTTCCAAGATAGAAATAACCTTTTAGATAACAATGGCAGAAAGGTGGTGTAACTGGGAGGATTATTAGATTTGACATATTCAAAGAGGAAGATCGAAATATTGATTCATTTTACTTTTGAAATTCGTATATGTCCGTCTTTATATTACTTAGTAATCACTCTGAGGAAGGGTGAACTAATTTCCACAGTAAAATACACGGTAACATAGTGAGAATGCCAATCTCAGAAAAATCTCAGAAAAGAAGGATACTGAGAAGAGGTGAGGCAAATAACGCAAAAGGTAGGATGACATAAATAAATTCAGCTATTTGCCTGTCAATTCTCTGGTTAAAAGACTATGATTGTTTGAAAAAAAAAAAAAAAAAAAAGAACTATTTAAAACAAAGTGCAGATAGCTAAAAGCTAATTACAATCCTGGGTAACTAAAACCTAAAATTTAAACAGAATGAAAGTAAAAGGTAAATAAGGTGAAATGAAAATTGATGTAGCTATGTTACTGTTAGCCAAGAATATGTAGAACATACTTTTCAGGCTTACTCTGAACATTTATAAAAATTGACAGCAGCCATAAATTTACCATGCCACCATGTGCATTTCCATACATTTCAATCAGTCCTACCATAGTCACTGTACAATTAATTTAGCAATTTGTAGCAAAGTGACAACTAAAAATATCTGCACACTTGAAAATTAAAAATCTGGCTAAAATAAATATAACTGGAATTGAAAACCTGTGAAATACAGCTAAAAATAGTGGTATGGTTTGCATGTGGCTTGTTGAAATTCAGTCCCCAGTATGAGATATTGAGAAGGTGCAGAGAATTAGCCAAGCAGATAAGATACCAGTTAAGATGCCTAATCTCACATCAGAGTGTGTTAGTGATGCAGACCTTGCGAGATATCAAGAGAAAAATTGAGACTGAGTTTTGGCCTGACCGAGAATAGCTTTCTTGTGCATTTGAATAGTGAATGAGCAGATGAGAGTTCTTTCTCTATGCCTCTCTCTCACTCTTTCTTTTTAAAAAAAAAAATGATAATCTATCACATGGAAGAAAAACTTAGGATAATTCAGGTTGGGCTTAGTGGGAGATCTAAGTCACTGGAGAACCTGCCCTTCTAATGTAGCTCTCATGAAACCCTTGAGCTCTCAAAAGACTCAGTTGGAATGAATGCAGCATATAAGCCCATGCTTTTTGGCGTCCCTTTTGGTGACATAATGTCTAGCTCTTGGCATAAAGCCATCAATCCTTCATAGGCTAAACTATTTGGGCTGCCTAATCTTGACACTTAGCTTCCAAAATTCTGAGCTAAATAAACCTCTTTATAAAATGAGGTGTTTTGTTAAGGTCACAAAAACAGACTAACAAAAATACTTAAAGCAAATGAATAATTTTATGGATTCTTATGAAAAGAAAAAGACTGAAAATTAATGAGCAACCATTTACCTTGAGAAAGTAAAACAGTTGAATAAACCCAAGCAAGGTAGAAGGAATGAAATTAATGAGCAGAAAAAGCTAAGTAGCTGAATGCTTGACAAGGTGGATTTTTGAAAATGGAGTCGAGGGTAGAGTAGTTGTGAAGAGAAGACCTGGACAAACATATTGAGAATAAAAAAGGAGAATGTACATTATGTAGTATGGGTTCCACTTACAATAAAATATTTGAGTGTTGCTACCCTAGTACGTTTGAAACATTTGCTGAGATAGATAATTCCCAGAAAAATGTGTATCACCAAAGCTGGTTTAGGAAGAAATACAAAATCAGAATTATACATGGTATCATGTGGATATCTTCCTCCCACAAAAACTGCAAGTTGTGAAATCAGGAAACTAATCATTCAAATCTTATACAAACTCCTTGAAAAAAGAAAATATTATATACCGAATTGTATATTATATATATTATATACTGAAGAAACTAGAAAGTAAGAAGTAGTGCATAGCAGTTAACAAAAGTTGGGTGCTTTGTTAAGAATTTGCAAGTTGCATGAAGAAAGTTATGGCTGTTAAATTAGATGTGGGAAGAATGAGCAATTGATTAGAAATCAAAGTGATTTACATAAAACAATTTCTTCCTCTAAAAGAAATTTTTTTTCTTATTTCAGGTAACCTCATGAGGCCTCTTTTGAACTATGGTATTGCTTGGTGAGCATATCTTTTTTCCCATATAACTTTCAGAGTGACACTGATGAACGTTGGTGAATCAGCTGTGCTCATGTATTCCCTTTACAGTATGTCCATGGGCTTCCTGCTGGAAGAGACTGCTCCAGTTGTCTGGAGAGGCCTAATGGTGATGTCAGCCGTTGAAAAGCTGTTGAGGCAGGTAGGAAAACTGCACTAAGGATCATTTCATTCTTGGCAATGTTGCCTTTACTGCATTTGTTGGGAAGAGGATTGTTAAAATTGGCAGTCAGGTTTGAGATATTTTACAAAGAAATCCAGATGGGCAGAATCTATCATGAGTAATTGACACCTGATGAGTTATGTGGCACCAAGACCCAAATTTAATGTTACATAATTTAATCTTTCTCTTTGCTGATGAGGTCTTATTTATGGCTTTATTGAATGTGTAGCAATAGCAGATGTATTTCGTAAGTAATGTGCATTCTTTAAATTTGTGGCTGGTCTCATTATGGGTAATATTGAGTTATAAGGATGACAGAAGTTCCTCAGGTATAGGGAAAAATTGTGTAATCCATGGCATTGTGATTTTACACTGGGTCAGACAAACAGTAAAAGTTTGTTTTGTCCTAAATATATGATTGAATGGTTATATATTTGTGCATATAATTTCTGTCTAGTCAACAGTGGCTTATCCTTAAAATAATATTAGATTGGATAAACTAATTTAATTTTTTCCTCAGTAAATATCAGTTTATAATTATATTCTAGGTAAATATTAATAGAGCTTTGCATTTGCCCCACTACTTTATAACAGCCACCCTTTATTCACATCCTGCTTAGGTTCAGGCAGTATGCTCTATATTGATCAGTCTAATGGTGGATATTTCTAATACACTTTTGGATGTTTAAGTAGATGTTTAAAATATATCTTGATCTATAAAGTTAGTCATTTCACTGTGACTCCTTAAGTACTATTTTTTGCTGCTTTAGTTCTGATAAATGTGCTTTTTGATCTTTTATCCTAAACTCCTCCTATTCTCCCAGGTATGTCTTGGCTGCATTGCCTCTTCTGTTAGATCATGTAGACTCTCCAAGACACCCACTCCCCACTAATTCCTTTGTGACCTTGACTTTTATTTGTCTGTAGTAGCAAAGTCTCTCTATTCTACTGCTGGATATTGTCAAGGAATATAGAATAACTTGTGATAATTGTCTATACTGTGGATTTTTGATTTTCAAACCAGGCATGCTCTCAGCACACAGTCATCTGATCTTTCTCATTACTCTTAATATTTATCAAAAGCCCAGCCTACAAATTACTTAGGGAATTGGGTAGTGTGGCAAAGGAACAAGTAGAGTTTTTATGAAAATGAACTGATAAATAAGTTCTATAAAAATAACAATTTTTTTTTCTGACAAGTGCTGAAAATATGTGTTTTGGTATCTGTGCTAAAAAATATCAAGATGAAAGATGGGACAAGAAATGGATTCAGATCTTATTTTGTTGGGATACACAGCTTATCAAGAGTAGTGAATGGAGTTTATATTTACCTACAGTGTTGTAAGATCACATTCATCTGAATGTTTGAGTATTAGGGAGCTGAAATGCTGTTATTGTGAGAGTGACAGATTTGCTTTAGAAAACAGATATGTATTTGGGAGGCTTAATATTCCTTTATGAAATTTTAGTACCTGGACAGAAGCTTTTTACAGCAATGGATTGTGAGGGAGACCTGATTCATTGGCTTTAAAATTAGATACAACATGAAAGAGTGTGAAAACCGTAAGTGTAGAGAAATCATCCCAAAATATAAACAGCCGTGTAATTGTCATTCAGAGCAAGATGAACAATACAATACCAGTGTTTCAGAAGCTCTTCCCTTGTCCTCTTCTAGGAACTGTTTTGGGGGCGGGAAGAAGAGAAATACTATGGTTGGTCTGCCAGCAACAACTTTAAGATTGGATTAAATTTGTTTACTTGCTTTCTCTGAGACAGTATGTTCTTGAGCTAAAGTTAGGGGATGCACAGATTTTAAATATTTAGTTAATGATTTTTAATGAATATATACCTGTGCATTTATTCATAACCCAGTGAAGATGGCGGACGTTTTCAGTTCACTGAAAGGTTTCCCTGGCTGCTTTTGTTCAACCTCCCGTAAATAAGTTTTCTATATTCTTAAATTTAACAAAAAATAATCATGTAATATGTAGCCTTTGGTATCTAGTTTCTCTTAGTTAGGCTAAAAGTTTTGAAATTCATCTTTGTAGTGGTGTATCAGTAATTGGGTCCTTTTTATTGCTAGATTGTATATAACCAGATACTGCTTGTGGACATTTGAGTTATTGAAGGCATTTGACTTGTCTCTAGTTTTTGTGAAGAATACTACCATAAATTTTACAAAGGATAAATAAAAAAAATACTTGGAAAATGGAATTAAAAGATTAGTAAAAATTAATATACATGCTTGAGTGTTGTGCCCGGCGTGGTACCCTAGTGGCTAAAGTCCTTGCCTTGCCTGCACCGGGATTCCATACAGGCACTGATTAGTGTCCTGGTGGCTCTGCTTCTCATCCATCCCCCTGCTTGTGGGCTGGTAAAGCAGTTGAGGACGGCCCAAAGCCTTGGGACCCTGCACCCATGTGGGAGACCCAGAGAAACCTCCTGACTTCTGGCTTCGGATCAGCAGAGCTCTGGTTGTTATGGCTATTTGGGGAGTGAATAATTGGATGGAAGATCTTCCTCTCTTTCTTCTCTCTGAATATCTGACTTTGCAATTAAAAAAATATTTTTAAAAAAGCTTCTATTGTTTCCAATTTCTCTCTCCCTATTTTTTTGGTGTGGGGAGTGTCTATTCTTTTTTTGAGGAGAGCTTTTTCCTGCTGCTTTTTAAGCATTTGTATTTATCTGAAGGGAGGAGAAGGGAAGAGATATATCAATCTCCCCCATCTACCAATTCATTCCCCATAGGCCTGCAACAGAGGAGGCTTGAGGAGGCTGAAGCTGGAAGCTGTGAAGCCCGTTTTTGTCTCCCACAGGGTGGAGGGCACCTGTGTGTTACAGCCCTTACACGCTGCTTCCCTGGCTGTACAATAGCAGGAAGCTAGAACTGGGAGCAGAGTTGACCCAAATCCAGGCATTCTGTGATGAAAAATTGCTGTGTTGAATGTTCACCAGACACAATGTTTATTCTTGACTGTTCTTGTTAAATGTTTATTAATTTTCTTGTGCATTTTTAAAATGAACATCTTTAGATCTTTGAAATTTTCTGTAATGACTATTTCTAGTTTCATTGTTTTCTACTTTCATCGTTTATGTTCTTCTTTTGTTTATTTTAAGTTGAATTCTTTTTCTGTCTTAAGGCAGAAATTTGTAAACTTTTCCTTTGACAAACATAATTAAAACTGTAAGTTTTGCTCTAGGCATTGCTTAAAAATTAACAAATTATTACATGTTTTTATTGTCCATAAGTTTGTATTTGTATTTTAGTTTGCCTACTCAAGGATATTTGAAGTGTTCAGTTTAATTTACATACTTTTGGGAATTTTCTTAACAACTTAATGACATTGATTTCTAGAATGACTTTTATTTATTGGGGAATATGTTCTGTTATATTTTAACGCAGAAAAGTTTTGAGATAGACTTTTCATGGACCAGCATATTATTTGGGCTTTTGGAAAGATTATGTATTTTGCAATTATTGTGGTTAGTATTGCATAAATATCGTTGATAAATATCATGGGTCAGGTTGTTTGACATTTTTGTTCAAACACATTATTGAGTTGTGTTTTTGAGATTTTATTTACTTCAGTGTCAGTTGCAGGGAGAGGGGAAGAGACAAAGACACAGAAACAGGAAGAGATCCTGCATCTGCTGCTTCACTTCTAGATGCCTACAAAGGCTGGGGCTGTGACTGCGGCTGTGTCAGGGTTCCTACATCTGGATCTTCCATATCTGTTGCAGAAACCCAAGCCATGACTTGGGCCATGTCAGGTTGCTTTTGCTGGAACATTACCAGGGAGCTAGATTGTAAGTGAAGCAGGAACTGGTGCCCACTGGGGACACTTGTGTCACAGGTGGTTTTGCATGCTGGCCTTTAACACAGCTCTAACCCTTTAATTGTTAGTTATGCTCCTCTATATTTCTAGGGAACTGCTTATATTAAAGTCTACTTTAGCTGATGCTAATCTAGCCCCATTTTGTTTCTTATAATTTCCATGTAGTATCTTTTTTTGATGTTTTTACCTTTAACCAACCCTGTTCGTTAAAGTAAGTCACTTAAAAACAACATTTAGTTGTGTCTTGTTTATTCAGTGTAATATTTTGCCTTTTAATTTGAGTGCTTTGTATACTTTGTGTAATTATTGAGATGGTTAGGTTTACGTGCACCATTTTGACTTTGTCTTCTTTTTTTCATCTTTCTTTTTCTTCCTCTGTTTTCTTGTATTGTTTTAGGTGGATGAAATACTTCTTAATTGCTATTTGAACTTTTCTGTTAATTCTTTGTCTTTAGATATTGATTCTGTAGTTGCTTTAGAGGTTGTTTTTCTTTTTAAAATTAACACTGTGCTAGTTAATATAAAACGAAGAACCCTGCAACCATGTGGTTTCATTTACTACATTTGTGTGAAATGTTTTGAATATACATATTATAGTTTCCCAATACAATGCTTTACAATTTGTTTAGTTTTCTCTTAAGCTAATTAAGAAAATAATACTTTATATTTACCCATATGCTTACTATTTTTAGTAGTTTTCATTTCTTTTTTTAAATATGGTTTTCATCTGATTTGTTCTGCTTTATTTTAAGAGCTGATTTAGTTTATTCTGTGGGTGCACTGGTGATTAATTTTCTCAACTACCTTTTTATAATGTCTTTCTCTAAACATTGAAGTTGTGCTCATTTAATCCTAGTAGATATGGGTCAGTATTAACAATGATCACATGTTTTTTTATCTTGTTCGGTTCTGATTCCTAGGAGCCATCTGAGATTCAGAATTCTTAGAATTAGTGGTTACTTTTATGTGGTAATTTTCATTTGTCTTATGTCAGAGTGAAAACCTGGCTTTCTTCTTTCCTCATTTGTTTTAACATGATGGTTGAATAGGGAATGGAAAAAGCCAAACTATAGGATCTGAAGAATAAGTTTATGTAAGACCGTTTCAGTGGAAGTGTTTTTTGTTGGATAAAAGAAGACCAAC